TTTTCAAATTTTTTCTCAAATTATATTTTTCACATTTTTTTGCTGATGATGATTTCCCATGGGATAAATAAATTTTTTTTTCAAAAATATCAATTATATCCACTCATGGATACAAATATCTTCACTCACTCGCTGCGCTCACTCATGAAAATATCAATATCCACTCATGGATATAAATGATATTTTTTCAAAACCATAGGATATTCCTATATTATATCAATTCGGATGTTGAAGTCACTTAATAAATAATAACAAGATGTAACTCCTAGTAAGCACTTCAAGTTTCAGTTCTAAATAAAATACAGTTAAGTTGAAAAATTGTTAAGAATACATACATTTTTTCACAATCACAATTTCACCATTTCTGACTGTATTTTTAGGTGTCAATGGTTCAATGATTATTTGATATAACCTCCTGAAACTACTACTCTCATATATATTTGGTGGTATAGTGATATGGAATCCTGTCTTTTGGGGTCTCACGGAATTCTTGTTTTAGAGAAGAAAATCCTGAAAGCTGCAGTTTAATATTATGAATTATAGGTGAAAATTGCACTTGCTACACTGCTTCTCCCATTTTTAGATGCTAATAAATCTGTAACTACACTTACTATGACCTTAAGTCTACTCATATGTATTATTGGTATTACTAATAACTAGAGGCAGAATCAGAAATTATGGTAAATAAAAGTAAAATTTAAGAGATAAATTGTTCTGAATAGTGCATTTTATCACATTTTTCGCGATATCTGACTGCATTTTGTGTCTTTTGGGTCTTTTTACGAGTCCATGCAGATATGAATACTTGATCTAGAGCTCTGAAATTTCCAATACAAGAATTTGGTAGCACTATGTCTTGATATCCTGTGTTTGGACTCTAACCAAATCACAGTTATTGAGAAAAAAATTCATAAGTAGCAGTTTTAATTCAAAATTAGTTGAAACGGCACTCAAGACAGCTTTCCTCATTTTTGAAAGCCGATAGATCGGCAAGCATTTACACCATGATCTTGAATCTGCGCATACATATTCTTAATGGCACTATCTCATTGCCCAGATATTTTGGAAACATTGTTGTCAAAAGGTAAGGGTGATCAGAGAAAAAGTTGGTAAATCGAAACAGCCTATTAGATTTCATTATGATACATTGTACAAAATTGAAATCGTATATATAAAATATGTAGAGTCCTATATTTTAATAATAAATGAATTACATTGTCAAGTAACAAGAGAAGATGTTTTAAATGCATTGATTTGCTTTCTATCAATACAAGTTTTTAATTGTATGCTGCAAAATGATAACAATGACCACGCCCACTTTCCAGGGGTAGGTTACTATAAAGTCATATTAAAAATCATAAATAGTACATTATCATTATTATAATTGAATTACAATATCAAACAAAGCTTGAATTAGTTTTCAGAAAACAATTTTGAGCTATTTAAGCTGCCATCTTTTGCTGGAAGCTACAAATATAAGATACGCGAGACTTAAAAATGACTAAAATTGCATATTTTTTTCATATTAATTGCAATATTTTTGAGACTAATACAGATATCGGCCTATAACTTTAGGATATTATTCATCTTTGGACTAGTAATGTGTGCTGTAGAAAGCAGAACAATAGCAACTATATCCTTTATGTTATGAAATAGTCTTATAGTACCCCCTGAAATCGCAGGAATTGAAGTCCAATTCAGCCGTGAAAATTGTTTTTACCACTTTAAAGGCCATCACCTTATATTTTCTTACACCCACTAGGTAACTCTAACATACTGCATTGCCAAAAGTTACTTCTTGCAAACTTCCGGCAAAACTGTGCCAGCATCTGATACAGATTGTAATCTTTGCGCAATAATTATTCTGATCATTTTCGTAATGGTTACGAGCCAACCATTGCAAATTACTCACAATTTTGGTGATTGACCATAACAACATCACCATCCAAGGTGGTGATATAATAAAATCAGATTATACGTCAAAACATAAAGGATAGAGGGTTGATATATAGTGGATCAATAATGGAAAAAAGTCAAGCATAGATATCTGTAACAAAGGACTATTACAATAGATGGCCTCTCGTATTTTATATGAAACGGAATGATGAGGTATAATTGTTGTGAACTATTCTTGATAAATGCCAAATTAATGGTGATTAGGTAGGGACAAGATAGCCAGTCATTAATTAGAACTGACTTGCATTCCTTTTAAGAAACAGGAAACTTTCAGGTATGTCCCCTTTATCATTGTACATTAATTCCATTATCTAATGTCCAAATCGGATTACCTCAAATTAGAATCTATAAATTGTTATCAAAAAAGTGTTATTTACAAGAAATAACTTAATTGTTGTTCTATTTTGAGGTATAATTGTTCCGTAAAGATTTTAAACAATCTTTTGTTTCATCATTGGGCACACTATCACCAAATATGTAAGCTGCTTAAAATTCAAGTTAAAATGTTAACAGCTAAACTTGAATGCGAAGTCATGAAGGTACGATCACCTTATGATTATACAATGATATTATGATAATCATTAATTCATTAAACTTACTTGTATATGGAAATTAAACATATTATGTAATTAAACATAGATTTATGTACTTAAAAACCAACACAGATTAAGGATTCTTGTTTTTGTACAGTAGGCCTATGACCTATAATAGGCCTACCAAGTGCTTGTTGAAATTGTATTTATTCAGTGACTTGTTTCAAGCAACTGAGACATTACAACTCAGTACAAAACTTCCAATCTCAAATCCTGAATAGCATTTAAATTGAATGTACATTGACTATGTTACCAAAATGATCGCATGACCAAAATGATTTCTAAAAACCTCGAGATAATCCTCCAAATAGTTTGCCTGAAAATAATGTAATTGCATTACTTATTTAATTGAATTATATTACATTACTTATTGAACACCATGCACGGGTGTTGAGCCACGATGATACGTGAGCACCTTTGATGATCCACGTTGTTTGAACCTACCGCCGAGCTCGCTAATCCATTAAGACCCGTGACACAGCCATGATACCGCCGGGCAAGCTCATTGTACCACCGGGTCTGCTTTTATACCCCCCCCCCCCCCATGTGACCCTATATCACCTCACATTTGATGAAACGTTTGACAGCACTGACATACAGTATCAACAGAGTGATTACGGGCCTCACTATTCATTTACTTAATGAAGAATTAATACCGCACAAATTGATTAAAACGGAACTCTAACTTCCTCCTTCCCTTTGTCATAGTATAATGCATTAGAATACATTAATTCCGATTTACTTCAACTTTTATATGACAAAGATATCATCAAGTAGAATCTGTTTTGGTCAGAAACATGAAGAGGATCATATATCACATTGATTTTATATCACTTAGTATATCACTTTGTTTTTAGCTTATTAGTAGAATCTGATCATGTGATAGAACATCTTTAGTGTCTGTATCATGACGTACTTCACAGGGAATCATAGGAGCTTTTAGAAAGGCTTGAAATGTGATGCTGGATACAACTTAATACTTCATTTAACTAACTTGTAATGTGTTTTATGAATTATTTACATGGAAATGTAAACATGCCTGAAGATAAGATATACATGTAGTTTTCTTTCATAGATTGTCAGACTTGGACATCAAAGGCAGCTAATGAGGTTGCAATCAGCAATTACAAAATCAACGGTTATAATGAAATCAAACTTTATTTTAACACAATATGACTAAAGTCCTATTTTGAAGCATACATATTATCCCCACCATGCACAATAAGAGATACATACATGTACATGTGTATGATGAAGTAAATGTTAAGGCTTCATTGACCTCACTTAGAGCCTCATTAAATGGAATCACAATGTGTTATATAAAACTTTCATTTCATACTTCAAAAATTCATATACTTTTTCCTGACTTTAAAAACTTTATTACATTTTACGGAAATGCAGTAAAACCTTAACCTGCGCGCCAAGTCTAGTTTTAAACTACTACAAAGCTCTCTTTTGAGAAGCAAAGTCTCGAACGAATGCAAAGGCTATAGGTAAAACTCTCTGTACTGGTTGAAACTATTTGTAAGTGTTGCTTACAGGGTGCTCCTCGTTTTATGTTAACCGTTGCCGAACAAAAAGAGCAATTCCCTGGAGTAATAAATTCCTCAATCATAACATATTTTATTGAATCTTATATCTGAATGATCGAAACTTTGCATTGGATCTTTAATTAATAAAATAGATGTTATGTAAGTACTTTTAGTGTGTATTCATTATATTCAAAGTGGTGGAGTATCCTGTTGATTTTATTGGTGTCTGATTAATATAAAATATTGGCATGGTTTCATATTCCTTTGTGCTGTTAATTTCAGAAAGGAGCACGTAGGTTATCGCAAACAATTTCAGAAGGTTATATCTTGGACTATGACTATTTTCTGACAATGAAGACAGGTTTATCTTTTAGATCAATTCATTATCTCAAGGAAAATTATATACAGTAATAATAAAGTCAAACAAACTCGGAGATATTTAACTAGCAATCAACCCATCAACACACTTTTTCAAAGATGTTGACCCCATTTTCACCAAAAATGCAATCATTTTTACAATGTTTAATGCATTACTATTCTCTATTTTGATGTATCAAATAGTTCTTGAAAGAAAATTTAATTGCTTTAAGATAAGTGTTCCCCATGTTATTTTTCCATTGGAAAATCTCATGCTATCCATTGGTTTCAGTTCATTTTGGTCATCCAAATTCGGTATCTTTATAGTCCCTGGAGCAATCAACTTTTCCTTTTAGAAAATCGTACATGTCTCAAAGCACATTCTAATTATGTATTCAACAATATAATAAAAGGTTGCATTTTTGGTGAAAATTAGGTCAACATTTTTGAAAAAGTATGTTGATTGGTCCATTGCCCCTTCAATATCACTTAGATCTGATTAACTAAATTATCAATACATATACTTTTCTTGAAGATAATGAATGGATCTAAAAGATACACCCATGTTCATGATCAGAAAATATTGATAATTCAAGTAAGAATAGTTTGAAATTGTTTGCAATAACCTACTTGCTCCTTTGAAAATGATGAAAATGATGACGTCAACTCAGCTTTCAACTAAATAATGGTTGAATATCGACTTACATTTTAGCTAGATACCTCATAAAATAAATTATGTATTATATTACAAAACCACTAATTGAAATGTTCTTGTGAATACAGGTTAATTAATAATTCTTATATATCACCCAAGGGCTTTGATTCTATGGGCCGATAATGACTTTTGGATGTCATTTTTCCCCATTTGTCTGTTTTTTTTTGCGCCCACATGTTTCTGCATGAGCCTGAGGCATTGACAGAAAATATCATTTTGCCCACATGTTTCTAAATGAGCTTAAGCTTTACTGTTGATTTACACAAAATCAATTTCAGTCAATAAAGAATTTTATTCCTAAACTGAAATAAATGACGTTTGACAATGTTTACAACAGGTTTCCCCGCATGACAACTGCCCGTTATTTTACAAAACTGGACATTATAGTACTTACAAAACAACAGGTCATTCCTTAGGAGTAAGTGACTTGTTGAGGATCTATTCACTTTGAAGTGACCTACATCTATCAATCTCATGTTAATCCCCAATAACCTGAGAAAACTGAAGTTTTGTTTTGCAAAGATATACAATTACTCTTTAGTAGTTGGCAATGATCATTTGGCAAAATATTATTCGAAAAAAATATAGTTAATTGGCATTTTCCTCGTGAAACAGCAATTCAATCTTCAATAAAATCTGATTTATTCCCTTGAATTAAGAGAATATTTACAATAATAAATGATCTTTCTTTTATTGTTTACTAGTCACACAAAGGTAATAACCAAGTTATTAAACGTGTAAATATAATACCAAGCTTTCAATTATACACTCTATAAGCCCTAATAACAGGGGTTTACTTTTGTATAAAATGCTCACATAATTATTATAGCAATCTTTGATATCGACTTGTCAATTAACTTCATGACACGTGGAATAGTCCCATGATTTATAACATTTCTTGGATTAAACAAATCTGAGCTACAATATCCAATGGATTATACTGTAATGTAATATAGCTCTCTAACTGTCCGAAATTCCAGCCTGTAGAATAAAGAGCGAAGATCTCAACTATTTACATGTCTTACACATTTCTATACATGTAATAAGGATTTCAGTTTTCAGCTTGTGTCCATTAGAGTTGTGTCAGATGAGCTTGCATTTGCGTCTTTCTGAATTCCCTCGAACATTGCGCACAATTCTGGGTTGACTTTGATCTGGTTGAGAAATTCATTCATCAGTTGGCTCTTATCTGAAAAAGTACACACATGATTTCATTTAGTTAAATCAAATCACATTTAAAGGAAAGCTTTGCCACAAGGCATTAACATGACAAAATGTCACCACCTAGTTGCTCCTTGAGAAGGTCAATGAAGGTCAAATCTCAAATCTAAAGTCAGATTCTAACTTCTGATAACTTGTAGATGATTGTAAAAAAAGATTTGGTCAATTTGAAGCAAGTTGAAAAAAAAACTTTTTGACATTTTTTACCTTGAAAAGGTCACCAAAGGTCAAATCTTACATATAAAGTCAGATTTGAACTTCTGAAAACTTGTAGATAATTTTGAAAAAAACTGAAGTCAGTCTAAACAGTATTTGGTGGTGACATAAAAAAAGTTTTTGAGGATGCTGATTCTAATATCTTATACATACTACTTGCTACTAAGTGGACCAGGATTTCAGAGAGAAAATCAGATCTAGCAAGAAAGTTAACAAAAAAATTGTTTCAATTTTAGAATATTTTTTGGCTCATATCATTCCTTAACATGTCTATTATATTTCTATAATTATGGTTACCATTTTTATTACTTGGGAGAATTTAAACATTTTTCCCCAATTTTTGCACTTTAAATCCATAATAACTTCACCAATTTAAAACATATCATGGACTAAAGAGTTATGGTATTTGAGATTGTAAGGAACAGATTTGCATGTCAATTGTACACTTTGATTAAATAAACAAGATAGCAATAAATATTGCACTTTGAAGAGTGAAATGATCGCCATGTAATTTAACCAGCATGCCCAAATATCTTATCAGATCTTGGCACTAATCTACTCTTGCAGCTGTAAATATGAGGTTCAACGACTTTAACCCATCTGATGAGATAAATGAGAATCTCTAGGCTACATTTAGTTAATTGGTCTCTGTAAATGAATGAGGAGACTATTTACAAGTTTTGGAACTAGCTGGAGGAATATTTAGTTTTCATCTACATAGGCTCAACAGTACTCCTTCGACTAAACCCTTGGGGGAGGGGGAGGTAAATCTTTTACAAATGCAAAGAACAGTAATCTGGATAAAGTGAACACTGCCAAAAAGTACTCAGCTAGCCAAAAAAGTGTTCACTACAAGTTAGTATTCACTTAAGATTTTCATGAAATGTTGTCTTAAGCCCTCAATTCAATACACAGCAATGTGCTCTAATTGACTCTGTTTGTTTAATTTGTCATCGTAAATTCACTGAGTTTGTTATCCCTAAGTCAATGTTTGCTTCACTAATGATACATCAATCAACATTTTTGAGGAAGAAGTCTGTGAATCTACTCTGAAATACATTATGAGTCTTGTAATTAACCTTATTATATAGAAACAAAAGGATGATACCATGCCAAATAATCCAATCTTAAACTGGGGATTGACGAATGATGAAATGAAGGAGCAAAACAATTCTGGGATGATAAATGAGTCAAATGACCTAACTAGAAAAACAGCAGTGCCTCAGAGTAGCAAATCCCACCAAATAAAACATATTTTCACAAATCACTCATTGATGAACATTTCATGATAACTAGGCTGTAATATTGTCTCCTTTTGCCAAAATCAGTCTATGACCTGACATGACGACCATATTATTACAAATTCTTTCTTCACCCAAGAGGCCCTGTGATCATAATGTATTAACCTATGAAATTTGTAGCAAAAGTGATAGTCTAACCTGTATTTACATAATCAGAAATTCTGAAAAAATGAAGTCATTTTGAGTTTGGCAGACATCTTGAAAATGCCATATTGAGTCCAATGCCCAAATTCAGCAAAAGCAGAGGGCTTTTGTCTCAAGGCATCAGCATACAAAATTCGAACCAAATCTGTCGACTACTATTGTATTGTATTGCAATGGCGTAGCGTCATATACGCATAAAACGCCATGGCGTACTCTCAAAATTTATAAAACAGCTGATTTTTTATATTGATTTGCCCAACACTTCAAAAATGGATAAAAATGGCTAATAATTTACATTCTATTCGTCCATAATAGTCGGAATTTCGTATTTCAAACGCCCCAGAACGCTTCAAATGCAATCTCATTTTCAAATTTTCGTTGGGGGGACCTCACCCGAACCCCCCTCACAGCACGTCTATTTCGCTTACTCGTGGCGTACCCTCACAAAATACCCACGCTACGCCACTGTATTGTATTGTATTTTTACAAAATATGGTGGCCATTTTAAATTGAGTGGCTATATTTAAAATGGTAATCAGAGTTGCATATTACATCTACTACCAATCAACTAGTCATTTGCTCCATTCATTTGTTTGTCAGTTCTTCTGTCTTCCCAGCAATAATCAAATACTAAATGACAGATTTAGTTCTAATTTTGTAAGGCAAAATTCCTAAGACAACTCATCCCAATACAACTCATCCTAAGAGAACTCATCCCAATACAACTTATCCTAAGACAACCCAACCCAAGACAACTCATCCTAAGAGAACTCATCCCAAGACAACTCATCCTAAGACAACCCAACCCAAGACAACTCATTCCTAAGAGAACTCATCCCAAGACAACTCATCCTAAGACAACCCAACCCAAGACAACTCATTCCTAAGAGAACTCATCCCAAGACAACTCAACCCAAGACATCTCATTCCTAAGACAACTCATCCTAAGACAACTCAACCCAAGACAACTCATTCCTAAGACAACTTATCCCAAGACATCTCATTCCTAAGACAACTCATCCCACTTCACTACTTGTATAATTGATGATTGATTTTGTCCTCTATATTATAGATCCCTTTTTCATTTTTACTATTACAAAGTGGTATTTGATTATACACTCAATTTTTGATATTGATTTTTAGTATTTTGAAATGGATTGAACTTGAAAGTTATGTTTAAGTATTTTTATTATCACACCATCGGTGGGATACAGTCGTCATAGTCATCGTGATCGTGAGTGTCCAGCTTTTTTGTCAAGTTCTGGCGCTGATTAACTTTTGGGTGACCATCTTGTTTTCTGGTGGCCATTTTGAAGGTTTTTCAAAAAATTTTGTCATCGCCATTTCAGGAAAACAGCTTATCAGATTTTCTCCAAATTAACACACATGATAGAGGATATCAAGTTCGATAAATCTTGTCATCGCCATTTCAGGAAAATAGCTTGTCAATTGTCTCCAAATTCGCATACATGATAGAGGATATCAAGTTCTAGATCTGATTAACATTTGGGCAGCCAACTTTTTTTGGTGGCCATTTTGAAGGTTTTTTGATGGTGTGATCTCGTTCATGTCATGTACCTTGTTAATTCTGGGTTATTCTCAATATGTTTCCAATTGATAGTTTTAATCATCATAAATCTGAAAGTTTGAGATTTTATTTACAATTGAGCCAAATCCATTCTGATACTCATAGCATCTCTCTGTTTCACCTGAAACATCTCAGGGCTGAGAAGAAATGAGATGTCATGGTTTATCATGATGAGCCAAATCTGACATACCATATTGTGATTAAAGTTGCAACAATTACTCATCTACCAGTGTCAAAATATATTTAAGTTTGGATATTTCATCAAGACTAACATATATTTTTACTATCTACAAAGAAACCCCCTGGATGAACATTATTTCAGCTGATATTCCTCTTGAAACATGGTGAATCTTAAAAATCTATAAATGGGACTCCCTTTATAGAAGCTTTGAACTGAATTTACACTTCTCAATGCTGAAATTGAGAGTTTATGCATACATTTTAAGGAAATGGGTATGTCAAAGAAGATGTTAAGCCAAATATTGACCTGATAGCTCAGAAAAAAAATTCAAATTTTCTCTCTACAGTCTTTGTTACCCCTTTAAAGATTTTAAATCAAAGACAAAATTAATCTGGGAGAATTATTCTGATAATAGCCCGAGTAATACATTCTTACTGAGTAAATTCTAATCTGACACATTTGGTGATCTTTGATTTAATAATCAAAGTAAACATCAAGTTGAACAAGTTTATCTTTATCTCAATCAATCAACACAAATAAACTAAAAATAAACTACAAAATACAAAAATATTAAGTAAATACAGCATGATAAAATATGAAATGTGTCAATTTAAAGTACAGTATGAAGAAATGTATATCAAAAACAAAGATATTTCATGGCCTATCACATTGTGCTAACCTCTAAAATCTCTAAATAATTCTCACATATTGTTTCAAAAGTTGAAATTAATTGCATAAAATTATGTTATATTTATATTTCAAGTTGGGATTAGAAGCATTGGGATGAGTTGGGATGAGAAACTTTTAATTAAAATCCCTTCTTGGGCAGAGGTCCTATGCCATAAGGCATAAAAATTAGAACTAAATCTGTCATTTAGTATTTGATTATTGCTGGGAAGACAGAAGAACTGACAAACAAATGAATGGACCAAATGACTAGTTGATTGGTAGTAGATGTAACATGAAACTCTGATTATGAAGGAAATTAAAAACCACTAAAATAAGGATGGACGGACAGATGAACAGACCGACGGAAGCTTTTCTATACTAGATACAGTAATCCTCCCAAACGAGGTCTATGGGATAGAATATTCAAACAGATAGGATGCAATAAATTAGTAGATCGTTGAAAAATAAACTTAATTTCAATTAGTTTTTCATTTACTGGGGCATGTCTTTGATGATGCAATGAATCATCGTCTTGGTTACCGTGTAGGAGTATGATTGACTACAAACCTGTGAACTCAAATCGGTTTATCTTCATAAAGATAATAATAGACGCCTAATCTGTAGTTATGAAATATTACTAATCATAAATAAATGGCATCCCCATCTATTTCATAAAATTAATGAAACATTTGCTAATATCTCATCTCAGCTAAACCTTTACATTAACTCTTGACTCACGTAACTGATACAAATATTACGTGACTGCTGAAAAAACTCACAAAGGAATAACAATGGTTGGTGAAAGTAATGTTTAAGTTGATTTCAGGTTGTTTGACTCAGTGTTCACAACTTGTACAAAATGATGTCTTGTGTACTTCTATGAATGAAATGTGTGAAAGTAATTTTCACATAAATAGGTCAATCTGACCTGAAGACATATGGTCAATGCATGTACTTATAATAATTTATTGTTGTATTTAATTTGGTCCTCCATTCTCACTGACATTAAAACTATGACCACATACAAAAGTGTGCAACTGGTAATTGTAAAAAAACATCATCTAATCATTTTCAAAAGTATAATCTTGACTGCTTACTGATTCTTAACAAATCTAGCATGGCCATTATACTCAAAGATTATTCCAAAAATAAAATCAAGTTGTTTTATCCATGTATTAGGTCAGGGATTTCATTTGCAGCAGACAACACAGGCAATTTTCACCAGTTGTTGCCTGTTGTTTTTAGGGACTTTTCCATGTTAAACTCATGACTTCCATTAATTTTGTGTGTTGTTTCATCTATATAGCCTGTTGTGAGAAATTCTTGTGAAACCCCTGTATTAGGTAAAATCTTTTAAATTATAGCCCTTGTAAATGAGCACTGTGTATCATAAAATAGTTGATAACTAGCTGCTAAATGGGAAAACATCAGCAAATGAACAATAATGATAGCTTGATCATGATCATGATTACCAATGTATGCTTTTCCTATTAGATACTATAGAATCATTAGAGATAACATATGCCTGTAATCTAGATAAACCAAAATAGTTCCTGCTTAGAGATGCGTTACTTACTAATCAGTCACTATCAATGATGGAACAAGTACAGAAAGAGCCAACCCACATCACACATGTATCTTCTTGGACGATATGTTCATTCATCCTTGCTTTGCTTATATTTTTGTGGTTATGCACCTTGTATTGATAGTAATGATGCCACTAAAACAATGAAAACTTCCCATATTTACTAACCTGCACCTTGTATTGATAGTAATAATGCCATTTTAACAATGAAAACTTCCCACATTTACTGACCTGAATCTTGTATTGATAGAAATGTCACTTTAAGAAACTTCCCATATTTATTAGCCTACATCTTGTATTGCTAGTAGTGATACCACTAACAATGGAAACTTCCCATATTTACTAACCTGCATCTTGTATTGCTTGTAATGATACCACTTTAACAATGGAAATCTATCACTATTTACTAACCTGCATCTTGTATTGCCAGTAATGATGCCACTGCCCTCATAGCTGACCTCTTAAGTTCATCCTGTTTCTCAAACTCTTGTTTTACAGAGTTTGCCTTAACTTTCTGGGTACATGTCTGACGTAGCGGTTCCACCAAACGATCTAATCCTGATAATCAAGTAAACAGAAAGTTTATTTTCTATGGGGACAAGATGTGTAGCATGTTAGTCAATGTTGAATGGTTTGGTCAATATAGTAGCTCTGTGCCTCAACAAATCATGCAGGTAGCTTACAGGAAATAAAGGTGTTGGGGTAAATTTCAATCAACACCTGATTTTTTATTATTAAAACATCAACAGAGAGATTAAGATATTAAACCCTACTTTCAAATGCTTTTGTGAATTTTAAATGCATGTACCCAAAGAAGAACATCTTCGATCTTCAAACTTAAAAATTATTTATTCTAAAACAAAATTCACTTTTACTTACTCTGCAGTACAGCATTAGGCACTAGATGAGCAAGGCGGACTAACATAAGATATGTTAACATTTTGATATCATAGTGATCCTTCAAACCATCCTCTACATGGTTAAGGAACTCAAAGATATCTATCCTATCCAGACAGGAGTCCAACAATGTGTACATACACTCAAATGCTGCCTGTAACATACATGTAAATGGAAATAATACGACATTTAATTCACTGGGTGGTGCAATATTTGAATATTTATACATTCCATATCTATACAGTATTTTTATGGTTCTGAAACACAAAGCCCAACTGCCACGTCATAATTTATATTTTATTCCAAAAATAGTCTATATTAAATCTGATATTTTGGTTTACCAAATACTTTGCAGAATGTCCGGTGTATGTTACTTAATGTGATTTATTGTTTATTGTGGTAACTGTGGTAACCTTTAACAAGAGATATGATGTCACATAATCTCAAAACATGATTAATGAAATGTAATCTGTACAGGTACGTACCTTCCTTATATCAAGTCCATCATCCACTGTGTGTTTGAAAGGCCCCATCTCAACCTCTCTGATAAGCTCTTTCTGTTGAGACAAAAATAACAAACATTATTTCTTCAGTATAGGAACATCTGTACTACAGTAATTCAGTTCCTCTGTATTTCCTCACGCACTGTTTTGGTATTTTTTATAACAACTTTTTAACAGATCCTTCCAAAAACCAAAATAAGACAAGAATGTGCATTTAGACAAGATAATAGGCTGCTTGAAAATCTCACTCACCCTAACTTTAGTTTCATTGTAGAGGTGGGGCAGTATTGACTCTAAAAGGTCTCGAATGAGAGATGGTTTATTGTGCGCTGCAGAGTTGAATGCAACGAGGGCTACACGACGCACATTCAGGTCAGAGTCTTGTATCGTATTCAAGAAATCTCCTATTGAATTACGTAATTGTGAGTCTATGGCTTGAGGCTAAAAGTACAGAGATATCAAATCATGAAAGTATATATTTCAAACTATGTGAAAGTATCAATTGTTTTATTCTGTTTTGCCACTTTTGTCAGGTAATGAATTTCACATGAAAGTAAAAACAACCAGGTGAAAGTGTCAATTGTTTCATTCTGTTTTGCTGCCTTTTCTCTACTAGATCATGGATTTTAAATGAATACAATGTGAAATATATGATCAAATCTTGATCTAATATAAGAAACTACTAGCGTATAATGAATTCTCTTCAATTCTGCTCCTTTGAAAATATGAACAAACCTGATCAGAAATAGTGAATTTCACAGCTGTTACAACTGTACTTCTAGTAAGAGCTGAGCCAGAGTCAAGATTGTTCTTTAACTTTGGAAGGAGGTTGTTGGGGTCTATGAGGGTTAGTTTCCCTAAGCACTCTGCCACTACATTCCTAGTACCCTCTTCTTGTGATTCACAATGACTGAACAACATCAACCTGGAATCCATGGAGAAATATAATGAATCCATGTTCATTGTACTTATTTGGGAGCATAATGCCACATGAATTCATGTAGAAAAACAGGTGTTAAGCTCTATCATTCAGGAATCATTTAAATAATCAATCAAGGTTGGAGACTATAACAATATGTCAGCACTTGTGGTGATGACATTAAAGTGATTAACCTCCCTCATCCAGGAATCATTATACTCTAAAAGTGATGTTTTTCTATTAAAAAGTTCAAAACATGTGATATAATAAAAAGCTTGCCATGTGAGCTGAAAAGGATGCGACGAACTAGACTCAGAGTGAATTTTGATACGTTTACTCTGCCTGTTCCTACCCTCTTTTTCACAAGCTCTTGCAAAGGGACAAGGAATGAAATTGAACACAGTTCAATATAGTCTATTACATGTATTAATAGGGTTAATTTGGAAATAAAAATGATCAATTGCCATCCTTCCAACGATTCTCCATATTTACCCCTATAGGTCTTTGAATTTTGACTGAAACTGACACTTTAAGACAATATCCCATAACTTACCAAATAGGCTCTATGTATGGTTTTATATTTTCTACTGACTGAGCATTCACAGATTCACAGCTAATAATCTGAAATGGAAAATGAGGCATTGGCATTGATTTACATATGCAAAATTATATTTATAAGACAAAGGTTGAAATATTGAGGAATTGTTCAATTTGGACCATTACATCATTTAGCAAACCATGTAAGATGCACACATCAATAAAACTGATGGAATTAAACCAAAGAGGAATGATCAGAAAATATTACCTCTTTTAATGAATGAAGAAGCAAGTATTGTTTTTTCACTTGGCGCTCTATTTCTTTGAGAACAAATGGTAAGTATTTTGGGAGGTTTCCAACAGCAATGTTTCCTATAAAAATACAGAATGGATTGTCATTTTTCATCAAATTATATCTACAAGAGAAAACTTTGTAATGATGGCCCACTCAAATTCCTTCATAGGCTTCAGTCATACATGAAAATAGTTGATTGCTAATAGAAAACAGGGAAAAAGTGTTCTAGTTTGCAGTTGCTCCCTTTGAAATTCATGTTCAGATAAAAAGATTAAACAGAACATTATTCGATGAAAGGCCATTGTTATATCTTAGATTTAGGTAACAGTACAACAAAAGAGTGTGTTGTAGTTAATTCAATCAATAGGTGGCAGCATCTCCTAGTGGCGTATCCAAATGGTGGATTTCCAGTATAGTATGAAAATTATATGTCAGGAAAGCCAAAACTCTCTTATTTGTGAACTAATAGGTGGATGGACTAAAAGACACAATATGTTGCAGCAATGTTACTTGCCCAATGCAAATGATGCAGCAGACTTGACTTCCTCATTGTGTGATGAAAATGAGTCCAGAATTACATGCTCTAAGTTCCCTTGATCAGCCAGATCTCTACAAGGTAAATATACACAAATTACATATGTACATACTATATGTACATTAAAATACAGAAATTAGGAAAACAAACCCCAAACATCCCAAACTATAATCAAATGTCTACAGAAACAATGTCTTAAACCCTTCTCACTCACAATTCAGGATCTACATGAGCTTGGGAGATCTTATTCATACAGAAGACCACTATATAATTTGTTGAAAAGCAAATCAATAACAAAGCATTAACATGATTAACATGTTGTCACCACCATTTATTGGAAGTTGTAAGAATCATCCACAAAAAAGTTAGAGACTATAGGAATATGTCAACACTTCTGGTGGTGACAAAAAATGAACTCTTGACATCAAAAATAGTTGCAAGTATTTATGCAAGATGGAGCATTTAGTCTCAAATAATGTGGGACAAACAAAAACAGATGTGTCTACTGTATAACTGTAAATTACTCCAGGCAGAACACTTTCCCAATTCATTATCTAACAAACCAATGTGGTTGCCACTCTTCCAGAGTGAGCAGAGCTAGCAGCTTATTTCAACTTACATGTGGTTACCAATCTCCCCCAGTGTGAGAAGAGCTAGCAGCTGCACAGAATCAGAAGACTGCGATGTTTTTAAGTTGCTGACAAATTGATTAACGACCCCTGTACCCTGTTGCTTGCAACATATAGTAAGGGCAGCTACAGCTTTGGCAATGGAATGGAATGCCTGGAAAATTACAACATAAATGTATATTAATAACAAACAACACAAGGTGATCCTCTTTTGATTCGCTTTAACTTGAATACCTTTTCCAGATAAGTTCATTTTATAGAAAATGTTGTGTAACATTCTTGTTCTACTGGCAAAAAATCAAAAATATATAACCGATAGTGATACATCTACATGATGTACTACATGTGCAGTAGAGTGTATACATGATGAGTATGTGTACAGTATACATTGTATTCATGATGTAGTACATGAACAGTATACATGATGTAGTTCATGTACAGTATTCATTGTACACATAATGTAGTATTTGTGATGTACATGATGTATGTACAGTATACATGATGTAGTACATGTACGGTGTATGTACATGTACAATATGCATTGTATACAAGATGTAGTACAGTATACCTGTTTATGTACAGCGAAGCTGCCATTAGGGGCAGAGTATATAGGACCAGTCAGCATATTGAGAAGTTCAGTGAAGCCCATTCCAGGTGTATTACTCTGAACCAATGCTTGGAAAAACTCTAGTAATGAGTTTAGTGCTCCTCCTAAAAGCAAGGGAACCTTCATGAGAAGCAATATTTATATTATGATCATCCAACATTTGTCAGAGGTAACATTTTTAAAAACTCCTGTAATAATAATGGACAAAATTGATCATTATTAATGATTAAACTTATATGACATTGTATGATGTGAATAAAAATGAAATAAGAATTAAGTTAAATAAAATAAATAGATGTGTATATCTCTGGACCTACCTTGCAGAAGAGGTGATTGTATGAGCACTAGCAGTTGAGGCAGAATAGCACTCTGAATGTTGGACATGCTTAGCTTGCTAACTTGAGATATGGTTGTAAGTAGGTTCATAGTGAGCTAAAATAGAGAACAAATAAATAAAGTTGAGGGACTAAAATTATTGCTTTCTAAACTTGTTCATGCTTATTCCACAATATTTTTTTGAAAATTTGAACAAACAATATTGTGTCTTATTTGGTTCAATTTGTGTATTTACCGATTCCACTCTTTTTTAAAAATTATTCTCACAAGCTATACATTCAAATGCTAGACATAAAACTGATTCTGATTCTGTTACTGTATTTTTCTTGAATTGTGTAATTGTTAAGCCAAAAAATAAGTTTGTTTACCTGAGATACATGGAGATCACTTTCATTGATCAATGCAGGTAATTCTTTCATAACATCATTAATCATAGATGCACTCAGAGATGAACCTATATAATATACAATTCATAAAATTAATTGGCAAGTGTAAACATTGCACTTTTAAACAAAACAGGAATTGCAAAGTTGTTCAATGAGATTTAGACATCAAACTGTTATACAGTAGTGTGTAAATAAATTAACACATATGAAAGAGAGGTTTTACATTTACCACTTTAACCACTCTGTCAATATCTGTAATGAATTGATTGAAAAAATGTACATATTCTTGATCAATACTTTATGGATATGCTAGATAAAATCTTTTTTATGCAAACCTCTTTTAAAGGACAACTGAAATAGCTTTTCTCAACTTGCAGCTACAAAAATGCGGTTTTCTCCATTGTAAGCCCAACGTAGAGTTCTTGCGATAGCCATTATAAAATAAATGTTAGATAACTGCTAACGGTCATAAATAACGAAACAAAACTAACTGATCAATCAAATTGGCCCCCACGTGATAAGTAACGTCATATACAAAATATAGCTTTGGTTTGTTGGTTCCTTAGTAATCACAACGTCACGGCAACCATAGGATTGTAGTGTAAACCAAAACAAAACATTTAGGCATTATGACGTTATGGGCCACGTGGGGACCAGTGAGAGATCACGTGGGGGCCAATAACGTCACAACCAATTCGAATATTGCTTATTAAGCAGCTATAACGATCGTTAGAGTGAAATAGTTTTCGCACTACTGATGAGAAAACATGTCCAAATACATTTATCAAAAAATTATATTGATTCCTGTAGGTTAAAAATACCATTTCATATCTGCTTTAAGTGTTTACCTTGCCTGTAAGTATTTCACAACTGTAAATGGAGGGTACTCACCATAGTTTTTGAACATTGCATCAAGGCAAACAAGAGTGCTTAGTTTCAGGGCTCGTTGATTCTTCCTCAAGAATGATGCCAGAATGGGCATTCCCTCAGGCTACAAAGTATGTAACACATTATTATGTTCAGTCTAAATCAATAAACCAAGTATAGCTAGTTTTTGCAGTAAAGTGGCTAAGCAAGGGTTTTCTTTTTTATGTATTCAAAATATAATTTATCACTATATCATATCATTTAACACGTATGTACTATTAAGCACATGTTTCAGTTAGCCTATACAAAAAATATGATCACTCAAAATATTCAACGGTATTGGACCACAGGTTCTATTAGAATCAGAGAACACTGAACTGTTCAACTTACCAACATAGGTCTGAGGTCTATTTTTAAAGGAGAACCTGAAATCAAAGTGAGAGACTTGACAGTGGTCAACCTGGTGATCTCATTCCTTAGTCTTTCCAAGAAGATAGGAAGGCAGTTCTGTAGCTCCTGCTGTAAACTGTCTCCAAGGTTACATATGATCTGGCCCCTGAAAGTAAATTGTACAACATAAAAGTTTGCCAATAAGTTTGTATTGTAAAACTTGAATATCAAAACACATCTCTAATCTGAACACCTTTCAATGTGAACAATGTTTCAGACAGTCCTTAACCTTAAAATGTGAACCCCTATTAATCGGAACACTTTTGGCCAGTCGAAGTGGCATTCAGATTAGACAGGTTAAACTGTACTCATAATCTGAATGAGGCACCTTCCTAGTTATTCACTGAGGAAAACGTATATATATGAACCTAATTAGTAATTACTAATATGCATTCAATCAAGTTATTTCACTTTTATCAGATGTGAAATATGTATCAAAGGTTACCATGCTATATCCCATGAGAAGGAATATGACTTACATGCAAGAAATGGCCCTCTCTTTGACCTCCTGGTCTATATCTGCAGCTTTAAGTCTGCTCAATGTGGCTGTGTAGATCTCCTTTACATAGGGTGCAAAACTGAATGCAGTTGGCTGCTCTGAAAGTTCATAAACACGTCTCCTGAATCCGTGTTTTAAATGAAAAGTTGATGAATTTAAAATGTCTATATTGAAAGGTTGAAAATTAAAATTTTTATGTTCCTAGCCATAAGTTACACTTTTAATTTTCAAATTGTAAAAATTATTATCTTGCCAAATTCATTAAGTGATGAGCATAATACATGAATGTTTATTTTACTGAAGACAAGCTAAAAGCATGCACATTTCCACTGACAATAAAATATACATTTTGTGACTTAATATTAGATAATACATTTTCAAGATCGTTCACAGAACTCAATCTTACCTAGTGGTCTAATGACCTTGACCATCTGCTGGGTGACCAACAAGGCCTCTGATGTGATTTTGTAGAATGGGTCTCCAATGGCTGCTATAACAGGCTACAATAACAACATTATATAACTCTGTATTACAGTATATTTTAGTGTATAATCAATATATGTTTTTAAAATAAAAATATTTTATCAAAATCATCATCGATTGTCAACATCAAACAATTACTTTTCTAAGTCTTTTATCGAGAAAAGGAAAAGGCCGTCATTAAAACTAGCATTTCATATACAAAAAATAATAAATGTTGGCGTAAAGGCAAACAATGAAATAACCCAGCGGGTCTTGTGAGGTTATGTGAATATCTATAAAAATGAAATAGAAAATCACATACTGGCAACAGGACAGGAACATGTGGGTGGAACACAACTGGATTGTGATGAAGAAGTACACAGTTCAGAAATGACAATGTGTCTATCTTCATATTAGAACTGGAATTTTTTTCTCTGAAAAATAAACATACTGAAATGTGACATTTTGTCTTATCGTAACCATGTTCAATCAGTGATTAAATCAACACAAAAGTAAATAAAAGTTAGGTTTGTTTTCAAGGAATCAAGCAAAGTTAATTATGTAAATTAGTAATATTGAGAAAGTTTCAAATCTGATATCCATTTATATAACAGGAGTAACTGAGGATGAGTAACTGGCTATTTGTTCACAATGGTGAGAGATTTTTAGTATAATTGTTGAAAATGAAATTAAAAGAATCTGATAACTCAAAAATCCATTATTTTGTCAAAAAAATACTATTAATTGGTTCCTTTGATTTATTTCCTAATTGATTCTACTTCTGTGTTTAAACACAAAGTATGGAAGTCCAAAAAAAGTGTGTGAATTAGGCAGGATGCTTACCCCAAAGAAAACTGTATACCAGGTACCAGGGCTGGGATGTGGTCATTCAAGGCCCCTGGCAGGACCAACACCAACTCTGTCAGTAAACTGAAGCACCCCTGTCTTGTCTTAATACTCTTCTCTTTGAGTTGTTTATGTATGGCTTTAATAATACTAGGAATCTGGATTTGAAGCAGCACAACTGGCCTGAAGAAAATTTGGGGTAAAACATTAGAGATGCAATCAATCTACGTCTTATTCTTCCAAATTATGTTTCTGAAAGTAGACTTAAAAATACCAAATTTAGACCATCTAGATTTGATGAATAGTCAGGAATATTTAGGTGAAAATATTTCAAAAATATATAGAAGCAATTTTAAGGTGGATTTCAAAACTTCATACCATTCTTTTGAAAACCTGAAGTGGCACCAGGCAGTCCATTGATTTTTTCACCGAAAATCCCAGATGGCCGCCGCGATGTATGAAAAAATTATAAAAAATGACTAAACGTTATGATTTAATAAGTCTAAATAGTTGTATACTGATTAAACATTACTAATAATAGTACCTATCAGAAGCTCATATCCATTTAAAGTCATTGGATCATTTTTGTGTGAAAACTGGAGTCCCACAAGGCTCAACTTTATGTCCTCTACTTTCTTTCCATTTTTTGCATTGACCATGGCATTTGCACATAGCAATGCATAGAAATCCATTTTTGTAACATGTGCACCTAGGACCACATTTCACCTTGCACCCACACTTGACCAATGCTTCACATGCTGCTTGAGGAAGGGCTGTATATAGTGGCACCAGGAGGGACATGTCATACTACCAGCCCCATGTTGTGAACTCCGATACCTATGTTGGATTGAGATTATACAGTTGGCCCCAAACAATACCACCTTGGTTAGCAAGTTCTTAAAATTTTCTGTGCAAGGGCTCCTTTTGTTGGTGGCATTCTATCAATGACTGTATTGCCATCACAGAACATTTGCCTTCGCGCTGCATCGATATCTATCTGGTTGCTGGTTCGATCATATACTAGAACAGTAAAATGTTTCAGGGACTGAATGGCATGAACTGACAAAGTCAGGTTTGTTGTAACCATTTGTGCTACTTGTAGAAAAGCTCTGAGTAACTTCCTTGAACACATTTCATAGTTTGAAGGGCAGATTCTTTGCTATGGCCAAAGAATGGTGCAGTTATATGATATAATTTAATACCTGTAATTTTTGAGAGGTAAGAAGGCAATCCAGATTGACACTTATTGTACCCTAATGCTGCAGCCATGGCAAGAACAACTACACCAGTATCTCCACTGATTCTGATTATGAAGTCTTTTTAACCCTCTGAGGTCATCTGTTTTACCTGAACAAAGAGTCTAGTGTAGTATCAGCTTCTTCATGAGTACAAGGTTCAATCATTACTGTAACTGGCAACTGAGGAAAGCACTTCAACAGATTCCACAATAGTCATAAACATCAACCCAAAAATAGAGTTGGCCAGGAATGCTAACAGCTCAGTCTTGTTCTGGTTGTTTCTTAGAAAGCTTAACCGATTCTGGAGCATCACATTCTCTGCATAAATCATCCATTGCCACAATGAGTCCTTGTCAGGGACTTCCTACTGTTTTATAGGTAGACATCCCAGATAACATCTTATCTTGAAACACCTTCCATAGGCCACCTTAACTTGGGATGAGACATTGGTACCATATTCTTGGAAGCTGGTAGCCACACCAGGATGCATCACATGGACCAGAAGGATGCCATCTATTAAAATTGCATCTGCAGATGGCTTTTCCAATACTTCAGATCCATCTGGCTTAGCTTCTTGACATTTAAGTAAGTCTGCTTTTGTTGTAGGTCTCGTGGCTCCGTGGTTATGTAGTGATGGTGGGAACTCATGGTTTTCATATTTGAAAAACTCAGACATATCATTGTGTCTTGATTGGCATGCAATGTAGAGTAATAGCAAAAAGGTCATAATCATTTCTCAGATCCTTGACTTCAGGATTCACTTGCATGCATAGTTGGTGTGGTCTAGGGAGAAAAAACAAAGAATCATCTGCAGTGATTCCTGAGGTCAAGGAACTGAGAGAAGAAAATTACCTTTTTGCTAAGCTCTATATTGCTTGCCTTTGACAATCAAGACAAACCAGAACAACGGCAACGCCAAAGCGTAGCGAATCCCATCGAACAGAAATGGCTGGCATTTTTACAAACGAATAGCAAATATCATAAAACAACACACCAGAAAGGCCACCATTTTCAAAATGGTTGCTCACTAGCCAAGTTGTCATCAGAAGAAATAATATGCTTTTAAGTAGCCACCTCTAAAATTTTTGAAAAATCTCACACGTACTTGTAAAATTACACACATAAAAATGGTGGCCATTTTTCAAAATGGCCAACTACTCCCCAAAGTTTTATTAGACAATGTGCCATGCTTAAAGTATTCACATATCAAATATGAACAAAATCGCTCCACTACTTTTCAAGTTATAGTAAAATATGTTAAAATGGCAGCCATTTTTCAAAATGGCCACCGTCTACCAAAAGTGTCATTAGAAATAGACAGTGTGCCATGCTTATAGTATTCACATACCAAATATGAACAAAATCACTCCACTACTTTTCGCGTTATAGTAAAATACGTTAAAATGGCGGCCATTTTTCAAATTTTTTTTCAAAATGGCCGCCTTCTACCAAAAGTGTCATAGGACAGTGTGCCATGCTTATAGTATTCACATACCAAATATGAACAAAATCGCTCCACTACTTTTCGAGTTATAGTAAAATACGTTAAAATGGCGGCCATTTTGAAAAATGGCCGCCTTCTACCAAAAGTGTTTTTAGACAGTGTGCAATGCTTATAGTATTCACATACCAAATATGAACAAAATCGCTCCACTATTTTTTGAGTTATAGCAAAAATCGTAAAATGACGAGTAAAGGCCGCCATTTTTCAAGATGGCTGCCATGTGCTTCTTTAATATCTACATTTGTAGCATTATTAATGTCCTTTATAATTTTTTTACATTTAAAACATTGCTATTACAGTTTTACATATTACACCTAAATTACTGTAAAATCGGCACTAAAATGGCCGCCATTTTGAAATGAGTGGCCATTTTGAAAATCGGCTTTCGAGCAGAACTTCTACCCCCATAGGGTATATGTGTACAAAATATGAACAAAATTGGGCCAACGGTATTTGAGTTATTGCCCGGACGGACGGACGTACTTACGTACGGACGGACGTACGTACAGACGGACGGACGTACGTACGGACGGACGGACGGACGGAGGCGTTCCCTATATCCCTCCGAACTTCGTTCGATGGGATAATAACAGGTCTGAGTTTTTCAAACCTGAAAAGCATGAGTTCCCGTCATCCCTAGCTAAGCATGGAGCTTGAGACCTACAACTAAATGACTTACTTACTGTAGATTGGGTTAATTTGGCGCCCGCTTTAATTTGGCGAAATTGAAAAATTCGCCAATATAAATCTCCGCCAAAATTTAGAATGAATCCCCGGGAATCATCTAGGGTATTTCGTCCAGTGTATTAAGGTCACTTCCGGTTTATTTTTCCAAAAATATGAAAAAATGTCTCTCATAAATTGGCTCAGAACTGGTCAGTCACTCATTTATACTCAGGGAAAAGTAGCAGCATCGATTGAGGTGTAAAATGTAAAGGATGATCTCACAAAAATGTACAAACGTGGTGAATATCGCCAGTGGTCCTCAAAAGAAAAAATGAACATAGCCAAACATGCCCATTTAGATCTAGATCTACATGGTAATTCGCAAACAGCGCGTAAGTTTAACATTCCATTAACATTTTTTTGCATATCCGCCAAATTAAATAGCCGCCAATATGCCAAAAATGGCAAAATCGCCAAATTAAGTAGCGCCAAATTAACCCAATCTACAGTACTTAAATGCCTAGAAACTAAGCCAGATGGGCCAAAGTATTGAAAAAGCCAACTGCAGATGCAGTTTTAATAGACTGCTCCTTTCTGGTCCTTTCTGGTGTTTCATCCCAAGTTAAGGCAGCTAATGGAAGGTGTTCAAAGATTAGATGTTGTCTGGAATGTTTACATACAAAACAGTGATAAGTCCCTAACAAGGATTTATTGTGGCACTGGTGCTAGAAGGATGATTTATGCAGAGATGCACAAATGCCAAAGAATTGGCCAGCCTTTCTAACAAATTTTCTTAAATTGCCAGATATAGCAATGATTGAACCTTGTACTCATGAAAAAGCTGACACTAGGCTCTTTGTTCATATAAAACAGATGACCTCAGAGGGTAAAAAATACTTCATAATCAGAAGTGGAGATACTGATGTCCTTTTTCTTGCCATAGCTGCAGGATTAGGGCGCAATATGTGTCAATCCAGATTGCCTTCGGACCTCTCAAAAATTACAGGTATTAAATTATATTATATAACTGCACCATTCTTTGACCATAGCAAAGAATCTGCCCTTCAATCTATGGAATGTGTTCAAGGAAGTTACTCCAGCTTTTCTACAAGTGGCACAAATGGTTACAACAAACTTGATTTGTCAGATCAAGCCATTCAGTCCCTGGAACATTTTACTTTTTATTATTATATGATCAAACCAGCAACCAGATAGATATCAATGCAGTACGAAGGCTAATGTTCTGTAACAGTCATACAGTCATTGACAAATACCACCAACAAAAGGAGCCCTTGCACAGAAAATCTTAACTTGCTAACCAAGGCAGTATAGTTTAGTGCCATAACTAAAATGGTTATTGAGTTCACAACATGTGGCTGGCAGTATGACATGTCCCTCCTGATCCCACTATGTACATCCCTTCCTCAAGCAGCTAAGGCATGCCAAGCATTGGTCAAGTGTGGGTGCAAGGTGAAATGTGGTCCTAGGTGCACATGTTACAAAAGTGGATTTCTATACATTGCAATGTACAAATCCCATGGTCAATGAAAGTCATTTGACTAAAAAAGTAGGGGACATAAAGTTGAGCCTTGTGGGACTCCAGTTTTCACACAAAAATAATCTAGTGACTTTAAATGCATATGACCATCGAATAGGTACTATTATTAGTCATGTTTGATCAGTATTTAACTATTTCGACAAATTAAATGATGATATTAGTCAATTTTAGTGATTTGCCGATACATTGTGGCGGCCATATTGGATTTTTGGTGAAACAGTCAATGGATTGCTTGGTGCCACTTCAGGTTCTCAAAAGGATGGTATGAAGTTTTGAAATCCACCTACAGATTGCTTCTATATATTTTTGAAATATTCTGTGAACTTATCTCCTATTCAAACCCGACTAAAATGTGTATGTATGGATAATATTTGAACATTTCAATCCCTCCCTCCCCCATAGAATATGCCTGGTCAAAGCTTTAAACCCAAGATGCCCACCCCTACATATACTGAAAGCTTTTTTCTTACTGAGTTTAAAAAACTTATTCTACCTTCATTTGCAATTTACATTTACCTACATTTTCATTTACCCACATTTAAAACAAGGCATTAACATGCAAAATGTCACCACCTACCATTTGCTACAGATACCAAATGCCGAAACACCATCCGCCAAATGCCATCCACAAAAAGACTGAAATTATAACAATATGTCACCACTTCGGGTGGTGACATAAAAATCCATAAACATTTTCAAGTCAGTGCAAATTCGCTTTCAACTGAAAGCAGCTGTAAGGCATATTTACCCCTCTTCCTGCTCCATGGCATCAGGGTCAGAAGACACAGTGGGTTTAGTCTGTCTTAGAAGAGTAATATAAGCATGGAATATATCTGCCTTCACATTCTCCTCGCGCTCTGAAAATACAGGGTAATGTAGTATAACATAACAAGGCATTAACATGAAAAATGTCACCACCTGCCATTTGTAACAGATGTCGAACATCAAACGCCAAATGCTGAACACCATCCACAAAAAAGTAGGAGACTGAAACAGTGTGGCGGTGGTGACATAATAACTTTTAGAGTGCCATTGTTCCAGTACATGGTCTTAATTCCTTTATTCCCTCAATGAACATTTGCTCTCATATTATTTTATTTTGCAGTAAACATGTTTCATACCTTTGAATCTCGACACAAGTGCAGGTGATACAGTCTTATAGAGCTCCTGCAACATCTCATGTCTTGTCCCCATGATAGCATCCAAACACTTGGCTGAGGACCTCCTCACCTTCCAGCTCATGTCATCATCATCACTGTACTCATCATCAGACTCTCTATAATTAACACATAAAATATGGCATATGATTTCCACATATTAGTTGGCAAAAATCATCAGACTCTCTATAATTAACACATAAAATATGGCATATAATTTCCAATATTAGTTGGCATAAATCATCAGGCTCTGTAATTAACACATAAATATGGCATTAACCTTCATCTCTCTATGACTACTATGTAGAATGTGGCAAAAATCTACCACACAAGATATGGCCTAAATTGTGATTTATTTTCCATTATGACATAACTTTTAAAACAATCCCTTCAAAAAATATAGTGAGAACAGACATCTTGCAGTGATTTTATTTAGTTTACTGTCTTTGATACATGCTACAACTGATTATTACTAAGACTTAAGACACATGGGAAGTTGTTTCTTTGAATAAATTATGCAAAAATTATCTTGAAGGAACTGTTTTTGAACAAAATAATTGCTCTTCTGAAAATTTGGTTTCATTCAACAAGGTTAATGTCTGGTGGTCTATAAGCTAATGAATATATGAACAATGTGTTGAACCAAAGTAAAAACTTTTAAGACTTACTCTTCCTCATCATCCTCCATATCTTCATCCATCCCCTCATCCCCATCCTCCTCATCATAGTTGTAGTTAGGGTCATGTTTGATGTAGTCCAGACACAGGTCAATCACCTAAATTGAAACATTACTTTAAATGTTGTAGCATATATGGCAAATTAAGAGAGTCGGGACCTGGCTTGACTTATGTAATGGTAATCGGTGGGACATATGAGTACCAACTATGCTGATTTCCACTATAACTGAGCCCAATGTTAGATGCAGACTGGACTGAGGGAATCTTAAATGTTATGACACAGCCAGAGGTTAATTTTGCTGTGGTCCAGATTCAGTCATCAATTCTGTTTTCAAAATGGTTGACTTGCCAGATTTCTTTCTCTACTTTGCTTATTAAACTGTATATTGTGTGTAATTCCTAACATCCAGAAACAGCCATCTTTCATATGAATATGATGATGTTAAAAAATGTCCAGTTTGTTGTTTAAAAGACACAATTGAGGTCACATCACATGAGATCTATTGCCAATCACATGACAACAATCATCCAATCAAAGGCCAGGAACATTGTGAGAAAATGAACATAAATATTCAACTCACCACTGGTATATGGGGAGATATTTCTTTAGGGCATCTTCTGACAAATGACTCGAAGGCCTGTATACAATACTCTCTCAGTTCATCATCTTCTATCTTACAGAAGCTTACAATAAGAGGCACTATTTTTTCTAAATGTTCCCCAATCCTGTGGCCTGCTGAACGACTGCAACATTGAAATTCATTATGTTAATTCATAACCTAAAAGGCATACATGAATCAAGGCTACATATGGGTTAAAAAGGAATTCTCAATGGGTTTAAATGAGAAGACAGTACAACAGAGGTATTTGGACATAACAGTTATAATAGGGTTATGCTACTTAATATCTGTGAGTGGATAGTCTCATCCTCCAAACATAGGATACAGATTCAGATATTCTGGAACTTGAATCACTGCGATCGGAGGATGGGATAGTCTGGGATATTAAATTTCAAAACAGGGTTAAAGTTGAAAGTTGATCCATAGTGAATGACAGACGAGTATACAAATTACATTAGAATCATTCATGCTATACCTTATTGCCCCAATACATTGTATATATGTACGAGTGGTAGATGTAGATTTGTTCTTTTGTAGCTCAGTTAATAAGAAGTCAATCAGCTCTACAAACAGGCAGCTGTTGCAGCTTGATACAAGGTGGCCTAAAATATAATAGCACAATTGTTACATTTGTGGTCATAGACTTTTCTATATGCTTTTATTAAGACAATTTAAGCCTATGAGTGTCAAAACAGGAAAAATATTTAAACAAGCATAAGGAAACTCATATTTCTATTTTGTTATTAACATTCATTTTCATCATGACATTGAAGTTGATAATTCTACTTTGCAAATCTGAGTACATTAAATGGGTTATCTGTGTGTGAATATTCACCCACCTATGGCTAGTATAGATCTCTTTCTAACAGCTAATCTGGGGCTAGCAAGCTGTGGCAGCAAGGCTTGTTGTATTGAAGGGTGAAATGTGATAAGTAGACCACCAAAGCGACTCAGTAAATCACCAAGTATATCCAATGCCTCAAGCTGTACCGATACGTCCTCTTGCTAAAACACACAATTGTTACACATACCGTATTCTCTGTAATTAGCGCCCAGGGCGTTTAGAAAATTGAAAATACATTATTTAGACCATTCTAATAAGCGCCCGTGTATGAAAGAAATCAGAAATCCCGAGGAATTTCATGTATGGCAATTTTTCTTGACAAGAATGCATTTTCTTCAACATATTTTTATAATAATATGACAAGTGCTGTTATTGGAGAGAATACGGTAAAGATCGCTTAGACAATATTGACAGTGGTTGAAGACCCGTCTATGTCTAATTTATTTCCGGCACGCCCACTTTGTCATTATCGCCGATTACCTTCAATATTTCCACTAGAGACTGCTGGATATCGATCTAAAGTTATACATTATTTCTAATTTGATGAGAGATCATCATTATTCGTGCAAAAGTCGTGTAAAAGTCGAGAAACATTAAAAAGAAACCAGAAAGTTCACGACCTTGACATGCGCAGAACATCTGCGCAGTAGCTTTTGAAATTTCTGAATGCCGATAAAGAACAATTCCTTCATTCATTATGGACTATTTGGAGACAATATTAGCATGGTATGGTGTGGGAAGCACCCATCGATAGATATGTATCGAGAGGATGCATAGAATTACAAAACGCGTCGTGTTTACAGCAGTTTTAGGGTAAGTACTCTATTATCGCCCGCTCCTGGATTTTGAGAAATATTTTTTTCCTGATATATTCTTCAATTCTTGTTGATTTCTCGATGTTTCTTGAACTTTGTGAAGCGGGGTGGGCGCTTATTAGAGAGTGGGCGGTAATTACAGAGAATACGGTATGTATCACACATGTGGAAAACAAGGCATTAATATGCAAAATGTCACCACCTACCATTTATGACAGACACCAACCACAAACCCCCAACCAACTGCCAAACACCAACTGCTGAACACCATCCAAAAATATTGGAGACTATAACAATATCAAGGGAGGTGAGCTCTACACCAGTTTTTTCTGGGTCATTTAAAATATTAAAATGTGAACACCTGCTAATCTGGCACTTTTGACTGTTCCAAATAGCATTCAGATAACTCATTATTTCTGAATATAAAACAGGGACTCTATTTTGAAACTGCACTCACTTTTTAAATGACTCATTTTTAAAATTGCACTCACTTTTGAAATTGCACTTGTTAATCTGCCAGTGATTTTCTTACAAATATTAGCCGCGAGTGCTGTACTCGCTGGAGGAAGTTCACTGATCACTGTCTTTAATCCTGGAAAACAAAAAATAAAGTGAAACATATAACATGTCATGATGTTTACTTGTTAAAAGATCTGAAACTTTTCGGTTAATAAATACTATTAAATTCACTAGAGATTCATTTATACTCTTTTTGATGTATTATCTCATCACTTTTCATTAATGACCATCAATAATTTTCTTTTATAATGAGAACAAAATCCCCTAAAAGGATTACAAAACATTGCTAGCAAAAAAAAAAGATCAAAACCAACCTATGCTGGATATATCTCTGAGTTGCTCCTTGTCTGACAGCATATTGCTACACAGTGTGTCTATAATTGTCTCTACTTGGAACTCTTTTACTTTGTTTACCAGTGGACCTAGGCTGAAATTATTAAATGACATGTTATTTTTTATTTGTCACAGTTTTGAATTTCATATTACGCTCTAGCATCAGATCAGATGAGGCACTTGCCTCTGTGCTTCATCTCATCATGTAAAGTATTATCATTGCAGTCTTCTATTGCCATCATAATTTACATTCATATTTCTGTCTGAGTTACATAGCTACATATACTAGGAATTTATGAATCAAATATCATTAATTGTTGGGTTTAATATTTGTATAAATATTATTTCTTTTTTATATGTATAGTACATGAAGATTGACACTACATGTATTAAATGTTGTTTTACCATTTTACAGCTAAATTTTGAACCTCTCCATTCTTGTCTTCCAAAAGTTTCAGCAACATTTTCACCACTTTTCGTTCGCTATCATCATCTAGCTTGATAGAATCTTTTTGCAGTTCAGCCATCAAGTCATTTGTTGCCATGAACCGAAAATCTTTGTCACTGGAGGTCATCTAAAAAGGAGCACATCATTAAGTCATTTGCCATGTCCATAGTACTAGAGAATGAATGAAGCCTTTTGCCAGCATATAACCTATAAGTTACCAGGTCAAACAAGGGTTTCTCACAACAAATTAATAAAAAAAATCATAAATTCAACAGGGAAAAGTTGAAAAGTCCCTAAAAACAACAGGCGGTTTTGTGAAAACAAACCGTGAAAGTCGCCTGTTGCCTGCTGCTAATGAAACCCCTGTCAAAGCAACTTAATAATGAATGATGCCCTTAACACAACATAGATCTGAAGGTAAATACAACCATGAATGCATTCTACTAAAAATTACTTGCCTACTATGGACATTTACCTACAAAATAATTTTTTGCTTCTACTAACAAGACAAAACAACAAAAAGATGAAATCCATACATTATTGTATATGGTTTATACATCATTGCAAATCTGTTATCTCTGTAAATGATGCATAAATATGATGTTTTTCTCATACTGAGTGTACATCTCTCATGGTTTTTTCTCAGTAAGAAGCTAAAGTCCAGCCAGGTATAATTTTCTTACACAAAGTGTAAATACTGCAACAAGTGACAAGAGACAGCATTATAGAGTACATACAGGCATTCTCTGCCATGGGGCATTCCCGGACAAAGCCTTGGCATCAGGAATTGTTAGACTGTACAATACAACTGTATAATATATATATATATATCACCATATTGATGAATCGATGTGTCTAATTTGAAGTTTCAATAAAGAAATCATAAAAGACAATATTGAAGATTGTCCTACAATGTCCTGTGTCCCTGAATACCCCTATGTACATGTACCAGGCCCGTTGCCAGGATTTGCCAAGGGGGTGGGGGGGGGGGGTTCAGTTTTCAAAAATTTCCAGGGGGAGTTCACATTTGACAATTTTGGCCCAAATATGGCTAAAATCACTTGAGAAGTGCTCAAAATAGTGAAAAACTGCATGATTTTGAAAGAATTTTTGGCCAGGGGAGGGGGATTCGCTCAAACCGTGCGAACCCCCCCCCCCCTGGCTACGGGCCTGTGTACTCTTGTGTCAAGTGGTATACACTTGGATAAAGAAGAATGGTGGATAAGTAAAACAATTTGTCATACACTACAATAGTTGGTTCACCTTGAAGATCAAATGTTTAGTTAGTGTCAAGCTCCTGGTCAAGCTTCAGACTGAGATTATCAACATCAACATGCATCTTTGATCTCTTTACAGTGGGGGACAAAAATAAAACTCAACGTTCACAAGTTGTCACAATGAGCTAAATTCCAAGTTTCGTGTCTCAAACTCTCCCAAGCGGTAGAAAAATAATTCCCGTTCACTAAAGTAGCACAATAAATGAATACAAAGCTTCATACCTGCAAATAATGGATAAATCCCTACTAAATCGAATGAATGTTTTCATGAATCGCCATGTTTGTTATCCAAGGAAGGTTGACTCCCAGAATGCAACATCAATAACCATATTTACTCATGACAGGTTTCAAAATGGCGGAACAGCATTTTGAAAGCTGGCACGTGTCATGTTGCATTCTGGGAGCCAATCCTCCGTTCCGGCGCAATCGGACGACAAAATCACCTCAATATTTGAAGAGTCGGCAAAACATGTGAATATCCACTTCAACTTTTGAAGTTCTTATTTGTCATTAGGGACACAAATTCCACTATATTTGGATTTACTCAGACGGAGAAAATAGAGCACTGAATACAATGAGGTAAGAATTTATTAAATGTGCGACAGCATGTAATTTTCATAGCTTTTGCAATTCTTTATGATCCCCACTGTAGGCTAGTCTTTGACTTTGGTTCAAAATAATTCTGGAAAAATAACAATAAAAGGTAAAGTGTTTCTCACCTTCTCCAGAAGATTTGCGATGTGGTAAGATACACTTGCCATGGTTAATTCTTTCTGATGTTATTTTCTTCTAGGATTATGTGTATCGTTGCATAAATAAGCAACAATTCAGCAAATGTTGGAGAAAAAATAGCCGGTCACTTTTCTAAATGAATTTCCTGTGCGCATGCGCTCTTGAGGTAAAGTGTTAGGGACCTACCATTTTTGTCGATAAACATTGAAATAGGTCTAATTATTTTGTTGGTTTTATCGATAAATACGACTTACATAGTTTTATTTTAAACGTACTTTTTAAATTTTATCTTATTCTCCAAAGATGACATCGACTATTGCACGTAACTGAACTATCATATATCATTGATCGATCCCCAAAAACTAGTTCAATTTATTCATCAAGTTGATGGTTCATCCGGGGAATTAGCAGATATTAGACCGAGTGAAATTTTGCATCAAATAAACTCAAATTTCTGGACTAACAAAGACATCGAGACACTATTTAATAGTGCAATCACAATGACTCCATCTGGAGATGCACCCGATGCAGAAAAGGTGAGTGCATTTATTTTTGGAAGAACGAATGAGCACACGTGTTTTTCGTACAAAAAGTTCCCTCCAAAAATGGTGACCCATTTGCAGACCATTGCAGATTGCATTTGTTGACATAATCAAGCTTCAAAAATTTACTTTGTATATTTTATTGATTGTGTAACTTATTATTATTTAGTCTAACACCTTTAATGGTTTGTCATAAATATTGTTATTTTGATGCACATTTTGCGAGTTACAAATAGATTGACCTTGCGAATCAGCTGATTCAATGCACGAATAACTGACAAAGATGGCTGCATAAATATTTTCGTGAACATTTATTGACGATCGGTTTCAAGCAGTTGCATTGCTATTTTATATATCTTTTCTCAGATTTTACTTAGCAAGTGATATCTGTAATATGTGTTATTTCCATATTCCGACCTTGGATCTACAGTTTGTCCAACAACATTGGATCTAGTCAGGGGCCTCGTTTCTTATCTTAGTGGGGGGAATTTAGTGGAAAATATTTCAAATGGTGATACAAGCAAATTTATTGGCTTAATCTGTTATTTAAACTATTTGGAAAAATTCTGTCCCTGTGATCAATCAAACTGAACACTATTTCAGGAAAAAATTCAAGATGGCTGCCGTATATGTGTAATTCGATACAAATGACACTCTAGATTCATATATAGAGATAAATATGGTTTAAAATTATATTGATTCAGTAGTAAAGCATGTACATTATATCTAGAAATACAGTTACATTCATTAATGAGCTGAATTGGGCAGAATGACTTTATATAGGGATTCTACAAGGTTCTATTTTGGGAGCACTCTTATTTTGTAACAACTTTAGTCATTAAACTTGTTTTCTTGAATAATGTTGATATTTCACACATAATTCAATCTAATATTTCAAGTTTACATGAAAACACTATCTTACAAGTACCAAGGAGACTTTGAAGGAGTCCTGCAAGGTTCTACTACACTCCATTATTATCACAATCTCTTGGAATTCGGTGGAAAATATTCAAAATTGCGATACATGCAAATTTATGGGCTAGTCAGTTATTTATGCAAATAAGAAAAATTCCATCCCTCAAATCAGCCAAACCTAATACTATTTCAGTAAAAAATTTATGGTTGTCGAAATATGTACACAATTCCGTAAAAATGACACCTTAGGTTCATACATAGAGATAATATGGTTAAAAAATAGGTTCACTCAGTACTAAGACATGCAAATATATTTAGAAATGCTATGATCTTCTTTGATTTGAATTTTGGCAAAAAGAGTTTTATAGGAGTTCTTCAAGGTTCTATTTTGGCCCTCTCTGTTAGCACTTGAATTACTTTATAACATTCTCTAATACATTTTATATCTAAGACATAATTCAAGAATATATTTCAAGTTTGAATGAGAAAATTGTCAGTCAAGTATCAATGCAGACATTGAAGTAGTCTTCCAAGGTTCTACCTTAGTCCATTATTATCACAATCTCTTAATAGTATGATGAAATAAGGGCAGGTGGAAAAGAACTTATCAATTATACAGAATTACATGTGGAATTGCACAATATTGTACATTTAAGTACAGATTTTTTACAAAAGCAAACTAAACATGTCTAGAGACTTGCTGGGTTAAGAGCCCCGTGTCGAGTTGTCTACAGTGAGGTCAACAGTAAAGGCCATGTGATGTTGCAGCTATAACACAGCTAATAGCAGAAACAAAGCAACACAAAACCAACTTCTCAATTGTATGGTTTGATATAACTAAGGCAGCAGTGTACCACACAAATGAACTCAACAGCTTTGAAGCATTATAATGTTCCTCAACATGTGATTGGCCTTGAGGTAGAGCACCTTGAAGGTATTCAGTTGAGATTCTTGACTGAAACAGCCAGCCTTTAGAGAAGGGAATCATGGCAGGCTGCATATTACTATTCATGGCAGCTATGAACATCCTTCTGAAAGGAGCCACAAGGAGTGCAATGAATTTAAAATGAGAAATGGTAACCCACATCCAACATACTAGTATCACATTTTCATGGATTGATGGGGTCACTCTAGCAAATGACACTGAAATAGCTATTCTGTGTATCCTCACTGAACTAAAAAACCTAGTAACCTGGGAATCGTATCAAATGTTGCAGTCTCCTGGAAGCTCCCTGTCATTTCGTTATACAACACTAAATGACACAAAACTTACCCAACCAACTAGGCAAGGCAGGACTGCCTAATAGAACATCCAACATATTGACCCAATTGTCACAAGTACTTCAAACTGCCTAAAGAGTCTTAAAGCAACATATGCGATTCAGGCAACAGATTGGAAGGTGACTAATTGTAATGACTATTACAATGAAACTCCCTTATTGCCCAAATGACTTGATTGTCATCACATCGGAACAATATGATAGTCCCTTTCCTGGCTGTTAAATTCTGCTGGAGTTACAGCAACAGAGTGGAACAAGGCTCTCCTAGAAATAGGCCAAACAGAAAAATGGTGACTATGGCTGCATTGTGCAGAGCTGGCTGAATAACTGAGTGAGGTTTGATCAACCTGTTTTCCAACCTCTCTGAGTTTGTATGCAGCTTGAGGGGTAGAAGCAGAAAAAATGGAAATTAAACTGACAAAAAAGACTAAAGCTGCTAATCACAACAAAACCTGAAGGATAATAGTGCCACAAGCAATGATACTCCAAAAGTGAACCTTAAACGGCTCCTATGTAATAATGACTTTTAAAAACTGATTTTGTTGTAAATTAGTGAATGTATATTCCTAATTATAGAACAGCAGTACCAATGATGTTAAATTCATTAAATTAAATAGAGTAACCATTGTACCAATTTGTGAGTATACAAAATAAGAAGGGCGTCAGGAATGAACCTTGTTTAACTCCTAATTATTTATTTTGACTTGAGTTCATAACAGTATTATGTGTAATGTGTGTATGTTGTATACTTCAGCTCTAAACATAGAGATAAACATGTCTAATCATACCCTGATGAAATCATAGCAACCTCTCTATTTTATGATTACATTACATTACATAGTGATTCATGTACTACATAAGCATATAATCATACACATATATAAAATATGTTGTGTCCTATATAGTTATAATAATCATATTATAATATCCAGTTACCTCTGAAGATGGTCTGAATGTACTTATTTGATTTCTGTTGATACACGTTTCTAACTTAATCCTACAGAATGACAAAAATTGACCACAACTTCCTTTTTCCAATTTTATGGGGTAGGGCACTTTCAACGCTTTTTAAAAAATACTTTCAATTTTTCAATAATTGAAATATTCATATTGTAGTATCAGGCAAAGTTATTAGATGTTTTTTGAATAATAATTAATGTTATTTGTCATTGCATTCTTTATTTGAACCTAAAAAATGAACATTATTTCCCATTTTACGCCAAATCGTCACACTTTGGAGGCTATGGGAGAGGGCTGAAATTCAGTTTAAAAATTTGAAAAAAATTCACTAGACTATTTTCACCTTAAAGAACAACATTTCACCATGAGAGCATGAATTTTCCAAAAAAAAAGAATTTTGCCCACCCTACATGTTATTTAAGTCATACTTTGTCGGCCATCTTGGATTTTGGGGGGAAGAAGTGAAATATTCCGTCGATCACAGGGACAGATTTTTAGAAAAAGGTTTTAAGAAGCAGAAAAGCCAAAGTTTATACTTGTATCACCATCTGAAATATTCTGCCTAATATAGGGGTAAATTCCCCCCACTATCTGACATATCTTATGGCCCTGACTAGGTCTAACCTCCATGGTCATTTTGCCTTTGATGTATTAATTTAATAGTTCCGCAGGTTTTGACCTTATGAATCAATACACACCATCCCTTATCCTCCTGTGACCCCAGGGGGTTCACTCTGAATAATTTGGGTAGATATGTGCAGCATGGGCAATTTTGGCTTTCGGTATAACTATAACCCATGGAAACTTGCCAATCTGAGAGGAAAAAAACATGGAAAAATTATCGAAGAAGGGACCTTTTTTAGGTCAATATTCAGTTTTCTAGAAAAAATGGTATTAAATCGGTTGAAATCAGTTGCTGATGCCTTGGACAAATCCCTGGAAAAGTGGATTTTCTAGTCAATTTTAATGATATTTCGAGAAATTTTGTTCTAGCAAACTTCAGAGAGGAATTAATCAAGGATCTTTTCAATCTTGAGAGGAAATTGACATTGAAAATATGCCCAAAAAGGGGGTCTGTGGCGCAGCACATAGATATCAAATGATATATTGGAGTGAAACCCCCGGGCCTGTGACCATATTCATGGATTATTACGAAAATATTGTAGACCGCTTTGAAACCAACAGAAAATGCCAGTCAGTTTCTGTCAAAATCGAAATTGCAAATCATATCAGAAAAAGCCAATGAACTAACAAACAGTAGGTTTACAATAAATAACTACTTTGCGTGTATACACATGCTATATAAATCAATCAAACAATTTTGTTGACAACAATTTTGTTTCATGTGATTTTACCAGGGACGAACAGACACAATGTCGGATTTTTCATTTTAGAAATTGGTAAGTGTAACCTTATTTTACTTGTATAAATGAACGTCTAAACCAAAAATACAATGTTTTCATTATTTATTATTATCATTTTCATATTATCATCAAGTATCTGTCACATATTATCATGGAAAATTGATTTGAATCGATCCAAAATTTGCAACCTTTGAAATCATAACAGGGATGTTAAACTTAATCTGGCCCCAAGTAAGATCAGATTAATAAATAAGCCAGATTAATTTTAACTTGTTGAAATAGGATCTAGTGCGCTATAATAATACTAGGGTCTCTGATTATGATAGTTGAAATGCTCAATTCATATTGCCGGTAGAGAAATTCATTATAGATTATTGCCACAATGCTAAAGGACGATTCTCGGTTTGGAGAACAGTCTCCTGGGCTAATAATTTCTTTCATGAAAAATATAGAAATATTACCCAAATTAAACTAT